AAGTTGCTTTGATGGCATCAAAACTCAATGCTTTGCTGAATGCTTGCTGTTCCCTGAGCAGTGTATTGTCCTTGGTCACATGATGAAAAAATTTTCTCATGCTTCACCTTCTCAAGATTGATGAGAGCAACATTCTGAGTCCTAGGCCACTTCACAGCATTCTGAGCGTGGAGTAAAACTTGCATGTGAGAATGTGGTGTGAAGAAGTCACTGACAATTCTAAATCCTGTTGTGGTTCCTTTCCCTACTGCTCTTTTATGGACACCCTTCCATGGGCATTTCAGAAAATGCTGCCCACCATCCTTAACATGGAGCACTTTGCTTTGACCTGGAAAGTTGTCTCGTACTGACTGTGGCTGCATTTGTGTCTTGTATGATAAACCCATTACCCAAGTCTTCTTGTTGCTTGTCCTCACAAGAGAAATTAGGGCCCTGGGCCTGTGTAAAGTTCTTTTCAGAAGCGGGATCTAAAACAGCAAATAAAATGATGTAAAACCTCTCCACTCATAAGTATATATACTGTTCAGGGAAGTGTTGGTTGTCAAGACAAACCAGCTTAACAGATGAATACCTATGGAATAAACCAGTGAACAGATAGAAAAGAGTTGAGCAGCAGAAGTTCTGTTTTGGCTTCTGTATTTTGTGTGGAAAAGACCTTCTGCCTGTCTGTGTGCAGTCTCTCCCTGGCACTGCCTATGGTGTATATGAGGCACAGCATCAGGACCCCAAGAATGTCCCCCTTCCTGGAAGTTTGGGGACAGCTTGGAGGTAGTGTGGCTAAGGGCAGCCCCTTCCTTTGGTGAACTTTGAGTCAGATTCCCAGATGGTGTCATGGGAATGGTCCATCCTGGGCTGACCCTGCTTCCCATGGGAGATGCTTTTAAACTGAGCAACTACCAACTGGCCTGTGCTGGGCCCTGACATATCACGGGAAAGAAAAGTGTCAGGTCTTGCATCAGGGGATCTGTTTCTGTCTAAAGGTGTGGGATTATTTTTTGTTGTTGTTGATTTCTGTGGATTTTATTTTGTTGGGTTTTTTTTTAAGTAAGAAAAACAACCACTTACATTTTCCACAAGTTGCAAGGAAGAAATTGCACTCAGCCTATATAAAGCCAAGCTGGTGTCCTGCAGCTTGGAGAAATTATGATCTATTTAACAGCACTATTTATAACATCACCTGATATTTTCAATCAGCCAGTTTTGCACAAAGAAGGAAAGTTTTTCAGAAAAAACTTGGGAATTAAAGCCCTGTGAATTTTTTCAGACTCCTTACTCAAAGGAAATTAATGTAAAATTGCAATTCTTCTGTGTACCTCTTCAGTTGCTGCTGACATGCCACATTAGGAGCAGAGTTTGTTAGAGATGCCAAAGTAGCTTCTCATAACTTGCATTTCTGTAGGCTTTTGGTAAATTGAATGCCCACAATTGCTGAGAAAGAAGAGCCTTTGTCATTTCTGGACTGAGGAATTGTCAAGCTTAGATCCAGCAATACTGATTTTGTTTCATGGCATGTACCTCCTTTTGGGGGCTGACAAAGCAGTTTTGTGGAGTTAATGAGTTTGGGTTCTAAGTAAATACACACTAAATCACCATCTATTCACTGTGTTTAGGCAGTTCAGATGCCTAAACTTGACTTCATTCAAGTCTTCACAAAGCAAATAGGCTACAAAAGTATGCTTTGCTGCTTTTATTGAGCAGAAAGCCTTTATAGGTCACAGTTAGTGTGCAACTCATGTTTCTGGGAAGCAACATGGAAGTGGCAGCAAAGGAAGATATAGGTCTCAGATCAGCTAAAACTCACTGAAGATAAGAAGGTGATTTATAGCAATTCTATTCTCTGTGGGTTAAAGACCCTTAAATCAAAAAAGTCTGGTCATGTCTCTCCAGCCCTGGAATGTTTTTTTGAGAAGAGGTAAATTTATACTAGGCTATATTTCAGTAAATAATCAAAGTTCCCAACTAATCTTCTGAAGTTTCTCCAATGCATTTTTTTTTTCTTTTTTTTTTCCTTTTTTTGGGGAAAATTAATTTTTGTTGAATCAAGTTTTCTTCCTGACTAATATTAACCTGTGTGGAGAGGAAGATTTACCCCATGTCCATGTATAGATACATCTTTGTAGCATTTTACATTCTTAGGTACATTATTAGGATGTACTTTAAAGATGTTCTGTTTTTCTGAGACATTTTTTATTTAATTTCATCACCCTTATAGTACTTGAGCTAAGCCAAATCCCAGAGAAAAGAAAACATTATTTCTACATAGGATTAGCTGTTCATTTTGGGAATTTCCAATTGCTGCTCTGGAAAGGAAGGTAGTCATGGGTATGAATAATCCCTTCTAGATATCCCAAGGTTGCAGTCTTCTCTGTCTGTAAGTGAAGAGGAAAAATACAGAATTATAACTAAGGAATTTATAGAAATAGTGGGTCAAACCCCAACAACAACAAAGGAATTAATGAAATAAGTTTGAAGTAATAAGAAAACGTTTCAGTAGTCATATGCTCTAGTCACAGATGGAATTCCAGCCGTTTTTGAAGTGGGAATTCCTGTGAGTATTTTGGAGATGCATATCGTGTCTGGGTGGGATGGAGCTGTCCTTTCTTATAGAAGCATTCCTAGTGCTGTGCTTTGCATTTGTGGCTGTAACTGAGTGAACAGGACAGCAGCACCTTGTTGACTGCTGGACAGTGTTCACACGGCGTCAAGGATGCATCTCCAATCCCACCCACAGGACAGGGGGCTGCGAGTGAGTGACAGGACACAGCTGAGACAGCTGACCCAGTGGGAGCAATATCCCATTCCATGTGAACTCATTTTAGCAATAAAAGCTAAGAGAAAGGAGAAGGAGTGGCACACTTGTTAAGACATTTTTGTTCTAGTGCAATTGCTTGGTGTGCTGGGGCACTATTTCCTAGGAGCTGTCTGGACATCACTTGCTGATTGGAAGTACAGAATAAATCCTTTGTTTTCCTTTGCTTCCATGTGAGGCCTTTGCTTTTCTGTTATTAAACTTTACATTGACCCAGAAGATTTTTACCTTATTTTTCCCTGTCCAGCTGAGAGTGGGAGGTGATAGAGTGGTTTGTAAATGACCTGGTGGCCATCCAAGGTTAACCCAATGCATTTCATCGCAAAATAGTTTTAGTTTCATCTCAAGTGTTGCAAAGCATAACTAGGTATGTGAAATGTCTTCAAGTAGTTCCAGACAGGAAGAGACCTTAAATCCCTTATTTTATAAAATTATTTAAATCCTACATTTAGGAGAACACCCTTCTATTTTCTGTGCTTGAAATGTCTTTCTAAATTGCTGGAACATTTGGCAGAACAAGAGCTCCAGCCTAGAAACTCAAGCACTTCTTGTTGCTAGCAAAGGTCTTTCATCAAGTTATTTTAAAATCCCTGAGGGTCCTCATTCTGAAGATGTTCACCTGCCTCTGTAAAAGGAATTTATAAAAATATGGGATCAAAGTAGTATAAGGTGAATAGTTATTTTTCCAAGTTTAAAGTGCATTTTTGGTTGCTCAACTAGAAATGAAAATTGTCTCTATTAAACCTTTTCATTGGTAGATTAAGCTTCATAAAGTAAGTTTTATATAGGTCACAAATTTCCACACATCGTGTTATGTTATGTGCTATGTTACATTACGTTATATTTAGAACCAATCTAAGTTTTCAATCAATTTAATTTACAAACACACTTCTTGAAGTCAGAAAACATTTACACATCACAAGGTTTAGTTACACAAGCAAAGAGAATAAAATACATTATTGTTATATTATTTGAGTGTGGGCAACACACACAATAGGCCCTCTAAATATAGACATAATTTATAAATATAATCTAAAATCCAGGTTGTTGTTTAGTGAGATTCAGAAAAGCACTTGAAATACTGTTTATGATCTTTAAGATTCATTATGACATATCAAAATCATTTATATTATGATATATAAATTTCATTTAACGTATTTTTGAAAAATGTATATTCTAGAGACATGTATCAGAAAATCTTTGGTTCTTTGCTGTGTGCAGTACCTTTTTAGCTAACACATGGGAACTAAAATAAATTCTAATCTGAGGTACATATAATTTTTTCTCAAACTTTTGGAAAATTATATGACCCTCTATCTTGGGATGATTCACTGAAAGTGGTAGGCTTCCAGTCTTTCAGCTCATGTTATTGTGATTTAATAACATTAGGATAACCAGATGTGGCATTTTCAGATGAATAGGCAACATAAACAAGAAAGACTAATTATTATATTTAATTAATATATACAATCTTAAAAAGTAAAACAATAATTTAATGCATCAGTAACTGGATATCAGTGTATAGAAAATTGATTTTTACTTGTTTTCATATTTCATTAAGTATATATGATTTTTGGGTGGAAGAGGGAGAGGTATTTCAAATTCCAGCAGATAAATCTATCTGAGTAATATTTTTCAAGTACGCTTGGTGGAGAATAGAGCCCTGCAAAATTTACAGAATGGGGAGGCTTCTCCTGCTGCTGGGGCATGGGAGCTTCCCCAGCACTACTTGGAAAAGTTTGGCAATGATTTACTGCACTGGTTATGACACTGGAGCAAACCCAGGCTTAGTTCTGCCTGCCTGGGATGTCTCCTCAGTTGTCCTACAGCATTTCCCAACAGAAGATAGTCCATCAAAACCAGATCTGATAGAAATTTGCCCAAATACTTCTCCAAAAATATCTTTCAAAAAACACCTCATCATCTCCTTTCATGACCTATTCCAGTGCTGGGCCTCTTGTTCTTTTCTTGCCCTATCTCCTGAATTTCTAGTGTAAACCTGTTATGCTTGATCCTTTATCCAATCAACCTGGAGAAGAATTGTCCACAAAGAAAATCAAAGGGTCAAGAAATGCAGCACTAAGGTGTGAGTTAAGAAAGATGAGCATGAATTTGTAGAAATTACTCAAAACGAAAAGTAAGAAGTGTTCTCTTGTTTTTAAAGGTGTTATTCCTTTTTCATTCTCTTCAGAGCAAAGGTGATGTGATATCGAAGTATGTTAATGTCACCCTGCATCAATAAGACATAAGATCCTAAAGACAATATGCAAGCTCAAAGTGAATGGAAAGCTGGGCACTCACCTCTCTCCCCAAATACAAGAGCAATCAGAGCACACCACCACAGAATTTGACTTCTGGCTCCTGCAAAGTAGCTAATAAATACATTTTCACAGAACAGTGCCTTGGAGTTATTGTTCTTGTCCACTTTCCGTGATTCTGGTAGAACTAGTTGCAAATGGATGTATTTAAGTGCAGCAGGAATAGAATAGTTGGTGACAACCAAAGAAGACTGAGCAATGGCAATTGATTACTCAGCTTTTTAGTCCCTGAAACAGAACTTCAAAGGCAGCTCTCCCCTCCCCATCTTCTCTTATTCCCTTCAGAAAAAGGCCTGGTGTGTCTAATAGGATATCGCACTTGGAGAGAGATTAGTTATAGCAGATTCAAATCTAATTGTCTTTATAAGTCACTTAGTCATTTGTCTCAAACAATGGGATACACAAGATTGTAATTAAGGCTTCCAGCTCATGGCAAGATAAAATGCGCACCATGACAGCAAAACGAGTGGTTGAACAGTGTAGCATGTCATAAAGTTATCACCTCAGAGGGAAACTATTGTTCCCTTCTGAGCCTGGGAGCTGTTCTCTAATTGACAAGGAAATTAGGAACAGATGATGATTTTAGAGGCAAATCTGCATTTTTTCTGGAAATGTCAAATTTATCTCAGGTAACAGCATCAACTTAGCAGAAGAGAACACAGGTAAAGAAAGATCTGTAGCTTAAGGTATGACCACATCACCCAGCAGTGACCCCCCTTGGTCATACCAAGACCAAACAAACCCAAAAGCTGGGTATACCTGTAGTTTTTGTTCCTTTAAGACTACCTGGAGGTATTCTCCAGAATGAGAAAACAGAGTTTGACTGCACATCCAGGTAATTAGGTGTCTGTCAGTCTAGCCCCAGCAGTTGTCTCTGTGCATGTGGAGACCAGTGATGCAGCCTGGCTGCAGGCCCAGACTTTGTGTAGTCCCTACTTTGTGTAGGGCAGGGTGCCCCTCCATCACCTTGCACCATCACATTTGTACCAGAGCTCAATCAGCCTCTGGCAAGGCATGTGGCTGGGCTGACAAAAGCCATGGGATTGCCCAGCCCAGCTTTCTTCCAAGATTTTAAAACCAGTCTGTGGACCCAAGTTGTGCAAGTTTTGGTTTTTTATTTCCTGCAGAGAAGAAAGTCTATTTACTTCCTTAGCAGAGGAACTTAGTAAGTCCAGCAATCCTTGAGATGCCTGAGAAACAAAAATCTCTGTAAATGCAGTAGGTTTCCCATCTAATTTCACTCCATTAAAGGGTTTATCTGAGAGGGCAGAACTTTTCCTGATGGAAGTCACAGAGTGACACAGGAGTTCAGTGAGTGTGTCTTAGCTGTCAGGTGCACGTACCAACTACCAGGCTACAGCTTATTTAGAAATTAGGTTATTCCAGACTGCAGTTTTTCATCACAAAGCAATGTGTTGCAAAACTCTTTTGAAATATTCTTGCTCTATTCTTCCGTCTCTCATCCCTCTCCTAGGCCCTCTCCCTGTCCTCATCCCTATGTACTAGCTTTCCAACTCTGCTTCCTGTGGCTACACTGCAAACTGGATCTATTGATTTTGATTTGAAATAACCTCTCTTTCCTTTAATGACTTTCTTTAATTTCTGGCTTATTTTTGAGCTGGGTAATTTCCTGAGTCACAAGCCACACAATGAGCTATTCTAGTCCTGCAAAAGAGCAGTGGCACACAGCGCCAGATAGGAGTGAGCTGTAGGGTGTGAATATCTTAAAACCCCTGGATGCTTCGTCTTGTGAAACCTTAGCTCAAGTCTTTCTTATTAAAGTTGCTCTTCTGGGCATAAACTAAGTACAGATTGACAAGCTGTATAAAAGCACATAAAAATGACACTCTAGTCTAGTGTTTTGGAAACTCCCTAGATGATGATGGATTTCCAGGCTTGATTTACAATGATTGGAACTGCTGGTTGAAAAGAGGGAGAGCACTCCCTATACATCACATCTGCAAATGGGAAATATGCAGTCCAATATTCAAAAGCAGCAGCAGTAAACAAATCTGTAGTGCTGTAAGTCAAAAAACAATGTAGAAAGCAGTCTTTTCTTCTTTTGGCATTACTGAGGGTACAGCCTGGTATTTTCCAAGACTTTCTTGGAATGACATGTTTGTTTCAGAAGAAAGGGAAGCTTGTGGTTGGGATTCAGTTCAAAACCAAGATATCTGAAGTACAGTTTGTACAAGTAGGTGCTGGCCTTGAGTTTAGGTTCCTGTGACAGTCGATGCAGTCATTCTTGCCTGTAGAGCAGTTCACCTCATCCCAGGAGCAGCTGCTTGAGGTGGGACAAAATTTCCTGAGCACAGGCTTCCTGTGGTATTTGTGATGCCCAGGAGATCTGCCCAGGGCAGGTAGGTAGGGTGGGCACAGGAGACCTCCACTCTTTTTTGGCAGCAACTGAAGACATGAAAGATAATTCTCAGCTTCCACATTTACTCTGGATACCTCTGTTAGTCTACTGAATCTTACTGTAGCAACTAGTCAGCTAAATAACTTTACAATTTCAATATCTGGTTGATAGCTTGTGTCCACAAATTCTAGTTGTATCTCACATTTTCATATTTGAATCTCTGTACATAGATATATAAATTTAGATGGTTTATTCTCAGCTGAATCCCATTCTATTTGTCAAATCAAGCAAACAACAAGCTGCTTATTTTTAGAAAAATTCAGATGTGGTTAAATGTGAATGCTTTTTTTATATATATATATATATATATATATATATATGAGAACTCTGCTGATAAACTGAGAAAACAACCCATTGTGGCATCTCTGAAAATGAACAGATTTGGCAGTGTCTCTGTGCAGTTCTGGTCCTAAACATTGGCATCTTGGACTTTGGCACTTACACAGGGAACAATGTGAGACTCAGCTCTTATTTTGTGCATCTGGCTGAAATGAGAAATAAATGACAAGTGGTCAAAACCAGCAAATATTTGTGCTCACATGAATGCCTGTGCTGTTACATTCCTCCACATACGTTCCTGAACAAAACCTCTTTGCCTATAGGAATGGATAAGTAGAAAGGTTGAAGGAAAAACTCCCCAGATCCATTCAGACAACACACAGCAACTGCAAGATGATACATTAATTGTGAATTTTAATGTTTCTGCCTTTCACATCCAGTTTTTAGTATGAAAATAATTTTCCCATGCTGTGTAAGAATAGTTTAAAACCCCCTGTGTTTCTAGCACAGGACACATTCCCCCTCTGAGAGCTAAGGGGGCAAAAATATGAAATCATAATGAGTGTTCTGAGGAAATTTTCTAAATTGGATAAAAATAGTATTCCACTATCATTTATTTCACTTTCTTTGTTTGTCACGACTTAGTGTCAGAATAATTCAAGAACTTTTTTAAAGGTATAGCCCCAGGAAAGTATTTATGTCAAAGCACTGTGACTTATTCCTTTAGCTGATTGAGACTGACTAGAGGAAATATGTTTAAAACATGATGAAACACTAGATGTCTAGTCATAAGTAGAATAAATGATGGTGACACTTATACACTGGGCATTAGCATGGGCATTAGTGCAGAATTTCTTCTGTTTAAATTTGTTAATTTTTTTTTAAAGCAGAGGTTATTTAATTCCCTTGACAAATTATTTTTTATTTAACTTTATTTAAGCTATTCTGTTGCTTATATTTGGACATTTGGACAGTGACAGGCTTTGATGGCTAAAGTGAATATTTTCTCGAGTTTTGAACTTACATCTGAAACACCACCTTGTCAAGAAGAAAAGAACTACTGGTCTACTCATGGAAAAACTGTTGGCAAAAACAATCAACACTGATTTCTCTTCCCTTCTAATATTGATCAAAGTTGCCAATAAAGAGGTGGTTTATTTCACTGCTCTTAGAATCTGAGCTTCTCCCCATCCCCCTCGACTCCTCAGATTTCCTTTAATCTATCTCTAGCCTCAGACAATGTTTCTGGTTTGGAGAAGAAAAACCATTTCAGTATTGCACTTCCAGTGGAGGAACTTGAATCCTCAGACATCCTAACTAAACTGATATTTCAGGGTAGGCCAGAAGTGAAGAAAGAAGAAAGAAAGAAATTACTCTAGAACAGAGGAAATTACCAGCACAATACAAAAGTACTTGTAGCAAGAGGAATACATTTTCTTTTGATTTATTATCGTTAGTATGTAGTCTCTGAATAAAAAGAGTAGATTAATTGGAAAATAGCCCATAGCCCATTCACAGATAATGAACTAATTATGAAATCTTTAAACTTGCCCTTGCAAATCAGTTGACTGCAGGGCTTACTGAGGCACAGCTCCTTCTGATTTGGCAATAGATAAATCTTGTTTGCAGTAAACTGACAGACATCTCAAGCTGCCACGTGGCTTCTGTGTAGCCTGCAAATTTTAAAAGTAGTTAAATGTTTGCTATTAAAAAAAATGTGCATTCTTTAGTACTGCTTGGAGTGGCTTGAGCAGAAATGGAAATGAGAAAGAGGTTTGTGTGGCCAGCTGCCTTGCGGAGCCAGCATGCTCCTGCCATCTCTGAAGGGTGTAGGAGGGACCCATTCACCATTACCATTCATTTCTACAACTCCCATGGTGCCATGACCCCCAGTCAGCCCACAAGGCATCTTTTTCAGGAAGCTTGGAGAAGTGGAGTACCACCATGCTGGCCACTGCCAGGCATGTGGAGGGCATGGCACCAGTCAGCACTGCATCTTCTGATCTGTCTGTTCCTGGGGGGCTGGCAGGAAAAGAAATAAACTCTGTCACAGGCAGTGACAGAGTGAGAGTAGCATTTGTAAGGCCAGACAGACCATTAGCTCATCATATATTATTGAATTTTAGGCAATTATTCTTATCTCAAGACTGGTGACTTCCACCTGACTAAAATACAGCTGCAATGCTTCCTCAGCTTATTCACACTAACAGGAGTGCTCAAATTCCCTATTAAATTCTCAGAGCCATTAAAATCTGATTTCAGGTGTAAGTATTTTATGGAAAGTGAGTCTTGTTGTTAGACTCCAACACTTATTTAAAAATTGCTGATTCTCTAGCTCTACCAACTTGTGAAACCCATACATTGGACTATTGCTGGACA